CTGTTTGGTTCATCTCTTTCTTTCCAGGACGTGGTGGGCATCTTCTGCCTGGTTTCTCTGGCGGCTGCGCTGGATTTCAAGTACCACCACGCCGAGGAGCTGGAGGCATACCTGAAGGGGATTCATGCCGCGTACCCCTCCCTCACCCATTTGCACAGCATCGGGCGCTCGGTGGAAGGTAAGGGCTGAGGGGGGGAGCGAAGTCTTTGTATTTTATTTAAATTGGGACAAACGTGGGTAAAAGTGGCCTTGCGGTGGCGTTTCGTGCTGGCTGGCGGCGGGGCTGCTCTAATCGCAAGTGGCGGGTGCCTCTCTGCTTAAATCTCTGTGAAGTTTCCTTTTCCTCTTGCTTAAGCGTGAATAACAAACTCTGATGACACGTATGACGCTTCAGCTAGGGTAGAAGTTCTCCCAGCACCTCCTGAGTGGCAATTTCAGTAACAGGGCTGTCCTTTAAAGAGCTTAAAACGCGTGGTACCCCGTTTGCCAAGTGCCCATTCTAGGTGGGGCTGTAATAGGAGTGTGTGTTTTCCAACTTGTGGGTATGTTAAAAATACCTTCTCTTTTGGCTTTACCTATTATTCCAGTAAATCTGGACTGACTAGAAAAAGGATTTCGAATTCCATACTGATACAAGGCCCTGCGTTTTAAATGAAGAATGGGATTTCAGTCGCAAATCCTACAGGAAAATATACCTCAGTCAATAATCACCTTTCTGTCCTTACACAGATATTTTAATTTGTCTCTCTGTGATTGATACTTTCTTACAATAAATTTATAGGAGAAAAAGGGATTTTTTAATTTGTTTAAAGAGATTAGAAAGTTTAGTGTTTATTAGCATATAAATACTTTAATGTACATCTGTCTAGTTTTAAGCAAAAAAAAATACTTAAGTAGATTTCAATTTTGAAAATTAAATCACTAAGATAGGAGGTATAAAACTAGATAGAGAAGTTCATTCTTCAGAGAAGTTCGTTCTTCAGAAACATCATCTGTTCCTCTAATCCCATTTCATACCACTGGAAGGAGGCAGTTGTAGCATCTATTATCAAATCTATGCTTGTGTTAAAAAAAAAAAAACAACAAAAAAACAACAATAAATCTATATCTTTCTGGGTAGATAATCATGAAGAATGCTAGTAGTTTCTTTTCGTAGCTCCTTCCTCGTGTTACCATGTGTGTCTTCAAATTTTTTAATTATACTTGTATTTGTCTGGGGTGTAACTTTTAGTTGAGAAGAGGGTTCTGTTTCAGGGAGATATCAAACAGCTGTCATGCTGCTATGGATATGCGATCTTGTCTCTGTGCATGCCTGCACTCTTCTTTTTTTTTTTTTTTTTTTTTTTTTTTTTTTT